GATTACACTCAGAACGAGTAAGGTGCACCTAACCGCTTTATTTACAGACACACGGACACGCACACACAGACACACTAAGATAAGTTCAATTTGAAAGTTCAGCATTCAACCTTGCACACACTCACTAGAAGCTTCACCCTTCGGGCTCGCTGCGATTTACACACTTACTGCTCGAGCGACCTTTTGTCAGCCCAAACGACTCGTCGCCGTATTTCGTCTTCGCATGCTTATGTGTTCAGCGTCGAACTTGTAACGATGGCTCATTATTTTTAAAGATCGACAATATTTACATGCTCATAATTGCCGCAATTAATGATCAAAAAATGAACGCGTTTTGAATTCGAGCCCGAAGGGTGAAGCTTTTAGTGACTTCTCGCAAACAGAATGTCAAACTTATTCAAAGTCTACTTTCTGGTGTATGTGTCTGAGTGTCTTACATAAAGCCAGACGCACCTTACATGTCGTTATTAGTGCGATATACCGTTTACCCTTCTTATAGGCAGATATGCCAAATTTGTTCCACTCGTTGGGTTCTCTGTTCTTTGCGACCGCGCACAGAATAAAGTCACACACACACCAGTGCCCGAACATAATTGGCACACAAGGTGACCAAGGGTGGACTGAGGGATAAAAACAAATGTGTTAGCACATAATGGCAGCGAAAGTCTCGCGCCGCCAGCAAGTAGTACTACTGAACATGTATTGCGCTTCTTTGTATTCTATGGAAGATAGCTAAAAGTTCATGGGTTTAAGATCAAGGAGCTGCAGTATGGGTTATATTGCATGGCCACCTAGTTATTAGGCAGGATGGCACCAATTAGTGATAAAGGGATGGGTTGTGACCTGTCACACCTAAAAAAAACTAGGACAAAAGTTTAATTCTTGCTGACAGGAAAGAACTTAACGAGTGGACTTTGCCATGATATGACCACAGGCTGTGCAGATATTACCAGCTTGTGGCTCACAACTATGTCAGCTGAAATACAGGTGCATAAATATAGCGTGATTGACCATGGGCACTTAAGTTGGTTTGAGTTTGACGCTTCCGATCAGATCCAAAAATAACAACTAAAAAGTTTATGTTGATTTCCTTCAGCGACAGCTAGGTCTTCCCATACGGGTGCGTGTACTATTCAGCCATGTTTAGTATATATTGTATGTCACTTAAGATCCACACGAATTCAGGAGGTACTAGTAGGTACTCCATACTATGAATGTACTAGGTTTTCGGAGATACCAGTACGTTAAAAAAAACTCTTGCATGAATAATTCCAAACCTGCAGTCCGGTAAACTATATCTATGGCTTTTTGCTTACTTTCATCTACACGACAAAAGGGTTTAGTACCACCATCGTAGTACAGCCGCAGACCGCCAACTCATCAGGTATAACTCTCTTTAGACAATTGAATCCACAGAAGTCCCCAACAAACTTTATTTTGGAGTCAATCACGTGCATCTTGCTGCAAGCGAGTTTGAGTGCAAACATTGAACTCTACTCCGTTATTGATCCCAGCTGACCAGATGATACGATCCCAGCGGTCACACTCGATACAGTTTCGCTTGTCCCTATGCGATGCGAAATGCTCCGCCTATAGCCGCATCAGCACCTCCCAGCAGGAAATAATCGTCAACATGTGACCGCATGGGATTTCGTGACCCGAAAGTGGTAAGTCGAAGACGAGAGCGTGCAAGCCTAAATCCTAGAGCGAAACGATACGAAAGACGTGAAAAGCGATGTCGATCTCGGCATCCTATCTGGCGTGATTAGGAAGCTGTCAGTGTCTTTTAAAACCGGCTCTAATTCTCCAAAGCCTTTATTCTGTTCTTTTGTCAGCAGTCAATTGACCAGATTTTCAGATCTCGTCAGCCCGAGCATTCTCTACACTTCAGTGACCTCATGACCTATCTTCCCCAATCCTCTGCACGTATTTACGGACACCACCCTCGCGGCAGTGCTACTTCACCTGTTTTATAATAGCTTTATCTGCTAAGTCTAGAGACTTTGTATCGTTGTTGACCTCTTCATGTCCAAGTTTTCGCGAGCCTTTGGCACAAGGTGTTCCTTCGCGATCATTATCTTTTCTGGTCAGCCAGAACCTGATGTACGCAAGAACTCCAAGGCGCAAGACAGTGTCTGTGCAGCTGGCACTATCAGTGAAAAGAACACGAGAGTTATCGAAAGGAACATCCACACAGTGTTCAGCAAAGCCGCTGTTTTGAGATGGATTCAAAGGCTTCAGTACAGCTGACACTGGGTAACTATTTTGCACCGACGCCCCAGCTTGTCGATTAATTAAGCAAGATCAGTGTAGCTAGCCTCCTTGTAGACTTCAAGCACTAGGTAATATTGCCAGGAATGGCGGCAAGGTACGTGCAGTGGCAACCCTCTATTACGACAATGTCACCGTGAAAGGCGACCAAAACACAAAAATAGCTCTCGATGACCGAGCGACCGATGTCGTACATCAAACTAGATGACGTCCAAGGATTTTTTAGCGTAGCTACCCACAGTGCGCCGCTTCGACAGGCTGTATAAAAATGCGCACGAAGCTTTTGAATACCGTTATGAAAACAGCTACACCAGAGACCAATCGTGTGCAAACAACTCACTTACTACAATCCCTGTCGGTTGATTACCGTTTCAAGTAAAAAAGCACACGGCAATGATTTGGCAGCGCTCGTTCCACCCGCAACGCTTCCAATTATGTCGCACGATGTCATCGTAACAATGTAAAAAAGGTTATATCGCTTGAAGCTGCAGTGGACAAGCGAGCTAGAGCGATTAGCAAAAAATGTGACACGTATAACGCAACGCTTCCGAAATGCCATGAATCACACATCAATGGAGATAGGAAGCAGACAACGACACTTGTGTTATATCTGCGTGGTTAATACCAACGACCGTCACGATAAGATATGCAGAGTAAGACTGTACATTACCCACGAATGGACTCAATGAGGTGTGAGGGAAAGTGTGTCGACGAACGGTGCCTGTCTCGCGAAGTGACCAGATTTATACTGTAAACGGGCATCAAAAAGCTCACGTCAACGGAGCCCATCACAGCATAACACTAATGTACGGCCGCATGTGATCGAAATTACATCCGGTGCTGCTTGATTTCTTAAAGCGTAAAGCCAAATGCCGAGCTTGGAGCCACGATGTCCTAATAATAACATACCATTGCCCCCTATCATGTCGCAGTGATCTGAAGTGAAGCTACCAGCTTATGGGTAAGGCGCTTCGAGCTACTTTTGTGTGAAGTGAGTTGTGGAACTGTACGTATTTATTGTCAATTCTGTGTTCTTTAGGTGAGAACACTGACAAGCAGAAGACCAATATGCTCTAAGGAACCGCATGCAGCCCTGCCGGTATCATTCGTATGTAGTATACGTATCACGGCAATAGTGCACCAGCGTTTCATTCCACATGTGACAGGTTGACAATATTGAGGAGTCGGACGGAATCGAGTGCTGGCACGAACTAGACGACAACGGCATATGTAGTGTCTAACTCACTCAAATTGAAATCTGTTAGGAAAGTGGATGCCTTTGTGAGACTTTATGCCTATGATAGGCACATCATCTTCATTGCTTGATGTTCGTCAAACGAATCCAAAGCTCACTAGCATTGTTTTGTTTTTGATCAGAGTAATCTTTATTACCTGAAATTATTGTAGTGACTCACTTGCTCCATATCGAATCACGTATGCTAGCGTACGATCCTTCTCCTGTCTCGCCACGTCATCTTCTTCACCAGATATTGCAGAGTTGCCCATCGTGAATTCATGGTATTTCACACAGAAACGTAAAATCGTTATGGAAGTTCAGGAAGATTGAAAATGAGGTAGCTCATGTTTAGGATTTCTTCAGCGAATAAAGTGGAAGATGAACTGTGGAGCATAGTAAGAGTAGTCGGTCAGAGGTCTACCCGGATTGTATCCGCAACACCAGTTGATACGAAACACTGACGAAATAAATAAACAGTCAGGCGTGATCGCTTTCATTGCTTTCTAATCGACACTGTAAACGAAACTCTAGCGAACATGCTCAAACTGCCACGGTGTACTCGAGCGTACTGTTCACGACAACGGTAGTAGTAATGTCTGCTCGTCCTGTTGCAGCAGTGGTCAACAATGGTAAGCTTCGCTCGAAGCATAGTATATGACGGTGTTGTCTTATCCGCTTATAATACCGTCCGAGTCCAAACAAAGTGTACAAATAGTTGTCCTCCGTCTTACACCATCGATTCGATCAGACTGGTCGTCGTCAGAAACGACGTCGGCTTGCGCTTCAACTATGTATCATGAGATAACAGAGTCGATAATTATTTACAGCACTCGAGACGTTTCGCACGCGTAGCTACCCCAAACAATCACAATGTCCCAACTGAAGCGGGTCTAGTCTAGATTCGGTCGACCTGGCATGCTCGTGCTTTCATTCCCTATTGTAACGTGTTGTACGCTCTGTGTTAACGTTTCTCTTTCAGCAGAAATCGTCGTTGGAGCCAACAGTGCACCTACTATTTTATTTCAAGCCAGTCTCATTTGCATTGCCATCTAGTGACGAGCTTTCGATGCGTGCTGTATTAGCATGAAAAATCCTCGAATTACCGTCTCCGTGGAACTGCATTCCGATTAGAAATACATGAATAATCATCATGTCACCACTTAAGCACGCTTAGGTACATTGCTTGTCCCATTCGAGCTGGTCATATAATCACTCTCACACTTGTTTACAAATGCATCCAAAGACGAAGTGCAGTGTTTAGTGTAGTAAGACTTTGGCTCGTTGACGTCAAAGATAAGTGTGACTAAACTCTCTTCAAGGCGAGTGGATTGACTTTGCCTTCTTCAAGCCACTACACACCCGATACACGCTTGCAAAACAAATACACCGGACATAATCCTCCTCTTGGCGCAGAAAACACCACGTTTGGTTAAGCTCCGGGATTCTAGTGAAGTGCACCTTCATCAGTATCATTTGTGTTTCCGGACGAGTGTCAGATGTGTAGGGCACTAACGCTGTAGTAAGGCAAAGCCCGCACGACACGACCCACTGCCTGCGCGCTGCCCTCGCGTAACACCAACGGCAAATCTGGATGAATGTACTCCGGCCGGTACATGAACTCGAAGCGACATATCGTCGACACAGGTACGGGTACCAATGGCGGCGGCGTCATCGAGACGTCCCGTACAGCGCTTTTCGATATTCCCAACCGAATAATCTTTGCCATCTGACGTACGTGGCCTGTGTGAATGACCGCTTGAAAATTCTCTCGAAACGTACGTGCGTCCGGCAGAAAATGTACTTCTGCATCAAATTGGCGCGTGGCTAATGGCCGAACGCTCGGGTGCACGAGTATGGTACCTTTTCGGATGCAGTGAGCCGGCTGTGCGGCAGAGAGGAAGCGTATGAGCACAGCACCCGTGTCACCAGCACTTAGACTTTGCGCAGCCTTGTGCCGCACTTCAATGCTTCCAACTGCTACATCGCAGAACTGTCCATCTGTGTCGGGTCCAAGCAACATGCGCTCCCCCACACAAAACGTTCCAGCCCGTACGAGTCCAGTCACAACTGTACCCAAATCTTCGATATCGTACGCTTGGCTAACTTGGAACTCGGCAGGCGTCTTAGCTGACCACACGTGCTTGGGCTCAAGCACGGATAAGTAAGCTTGCAAAACGTCCAGACCACTACCACTCATGTTAGAAACCTGGAACACCGGCACAATCGACGCCGAGGCAAGCTTCAGCAAATCCGTCCTGACATCCGGAAAACTGCTCGTGCTTCTTGGTGCCACCACCACTCGCTGAGACGGACAAATGGCCTTCAGCAATTGAACAACTTCAACCAGCACTTGTTGTATCCGTTCGCCTATCACTTGGTCCGTCTTCGTTACTACTACAAAAATTGCGACGTTCAAAGCAGCAGCAATCTTGACATGCTCGCGCGTCATATCTTGAACACCTCGCGCAGCATCAATTACCAGCATCGCGTAGTCGAAAAAATGGCTGGCCAGACCTGAAGCTGTGCTCTTGAGGTATTTCTTGTGTCCTGCTAGATCACTGAGCGTAATTAACGTATCATGCCTCCTGGTTGCTTGGCTTTCCACCTCCTCTTTATCGTTGTCCCCAAAATCGCACGTATCAAACTTGTCCATGCAGCGAAAGGTTCCGTCTACAGCCACAGCAATTGTGTGTTCACTCACACTGGATGTGCAACCGTTCTCCAGCTCATGGCGATGGCGACACACCTGCATTCGAGCCAGTCCAGCGCCGTCATCTAGACAGCCGCTCAGCAGCACTCCTACCAGTGTCGACTTGCCGCTCTCGAAATCCCCAATCACTGGTACTAAGCACGAACAAGAGTAAATGATAGTCAGTACAGAAAAACCATTGTCGACCGCGATAACAACTGCATACGTCGCTTTCTTTCTCCAACCATCTCTATCCAATTATGTATACATATACATATACGCAGATACAAATGAGTATGTTCAAAACGTACTACGTAGCCGTTTCGTCGCGTTGTGTTCGAGAACTCTTGTGATCTGGATCCGCACGGCTATCAAACCAGCTTCTTGACCATCTCGGAACCTCGACAACGACATTTTAGCACGCACTACATGGCACATTCTAAAAAAACACAAATCAAGGGCGTCAGGCAATGGCTACAAAACAGCCACGTGTGTTTCCCCTTCCTCTGTCATCTCTCCTCCCCCCCAATAACTATACATCCTCGATAAAACTCGATATTCGATCGTTTGATTAGTAGAGTCTCTCTATCCGTACCGGGCTAAAGCTTTCAGAGACCGCAGCACAGCAGTCTCGGACAGACCAAGCACCAGTCCATCATCCCGTACGCCAAGCTCATAGAAAGCGGTGCCACCGCCTTCGTTCAGGCGCCAGTTCATCTGCGTCGTGAGTTGACGCAGGCGGTCGGGCGTTAGTTCCAGCAGCTGCTGCTTGTACTCGACGTTCCCCTCCTCCACTTCCTCGGGCAACCGCTCGGGTTCCGTGTCATTGGAACGAGGAGCAGGGCGCTGACATTTAGCACGCACTTGGCGGCAGAGGGCCGCGACCCCCACATCAGCTTGTAGGAGGGCTGCCATGGCTAAATACCCCGTCTAAGGCGATACATAAACTTGGCTAACACAGTCTCTGCTTAATCAATTTGACGCTGGATAGTATCGAGATTTTGTAGTGCGAGCCCGAGGACTTAAGCTAGTAGTGAGAGTGCGCAAGGGTGAATGCCGAGCTAATAAATCGTACTTATCGGAGTGTCTGTGTTTTGTAAATAACGCTGTTAGGTGTACCTTACATGTACTAAGTGCGATCAAGTCTGTCCCCTGATGCACGCACATGATTGGCTTAAAATCGAAAAAAGGTGAACGTGAGCCCATCAGCAAATGCTCGACGCTCATAAGCAAAAAAGCTGATCGCGGTGCATGAGTATACTGCCGGATTAATTTATACACTAACAGCATCATACTCCTCCTTCAGTGACTGCTGCTGCTATACAGTGTTTTGCAGCTTGATTCAGTTCTCCTAACTGAATTAGGGGCGAGCTCCAGAGCTTGCTCCCCTATCTTCTTTTCTCTAAACCGTGTCATACACATTTGTAGATCCTTTTTGTCAAGCAACATCACATTGCGGGACTAGACGAGGACGTCGCGATTGCAGAAACGCTTAAAAGGACTGCTGCAAGCACGACGTATCGCTAGACATTATAACCTATCAAAAGGATTGTAGTTGTTGCCGGTTCCTATTCAAACTCGTAGTTTCGAAGTGCGGGGCAGACGCAGCACATTGCAATCCGACGATTTGTAACAGACACAGGGGGTGGGTACAGGTTGAATTTGATTGAAGCTGCGATTAGACTTTACTCTACTTTACCGGGCAGTTTGGACCGACTGGCCCTTGAGAAGTCCTCAACTCGTCGCAGCACTAGAAAACAGAGAGGGTCGTCGCTCGTGGCGAAGCTAGATGGGCGAGCAAATGGCGGGTAAATAGTGAGACCGTCATCGAGTGAATGAGGCACTCGCAGTTTACGGATAAAGGTACTGCACACGCTACGACACCTGCAATTGACAGCGGTTGTGACACGAACTGATGTGGCATCACTTTTGTGTGGACATAATGGAGCGCACAACAAGAGATGGATAACACTTGCACCGAAAGGATGGGTTCCCACGCAAAGGACCGAGGCCCTGAAGGAGTGTTCAAATAAGCACGTTTCTTACACATATATAAGAGACGACACGTATGCCTTCGAATAGTTTAGATGTGCTCGCAAAATTACGTGAGAAACTACAAGTCTGTGGGTTGAGCGTGTCCTAAGTCAATATGGTACACTACTACTTTGAAGATTGGGCTGTGCATATACCTCAGACCGATATACAACAACGGATGGGTCTTCCAAACGTTTGCGGATCGGTAGTAGTACTGCAGAATTTACAGGTGGACGAAAAATAGTATATACGACCAGGGGCTGGTTTGGAATCGAAACATGATGTGCAAAAGTGAAAACGACGGCGAGTACGTCCCACGGATCTTACCGACCGTCTTAGTCTGTGCTTACGGGAATTTCTTTTATCGTGTACGCCTTATTGAACTAGAAACAATATGCATGCGTATGGAATGAATATGATTCGCATCAGGAAGGGGAAGTACACTCTGGCGAGCAATCCATATATCTACCACCATGACTGGCAATTACTGAGGCAAACGGAACAAATTAAAGCGAATGCAGTTTTCAAATCCGTAAACTCGCATCATGCGTGGGGTCAGGCTCATGCTAGTTTCCCCGGTGCATCGGTACAAGCTTACAATGGGTGGCAATCTTTGGATGCACATGTGCACGCCGTGGATATAATATTCGCTTTTGCTAACTGACTCTCCCTCGCACAGCAGCTTGCATACCATCGTACGTTCTACAAGTACGCTAACGAGGATTATAGGCTCGATCATATCGGTCTGTTTCACTCGTCCAATGTGGCAAATTACTGCCTCCACTCTTATTCTAGCTGCAAATTACAATCACTACGGTTCCTCCATATACCTCTGGCATATCTTAGTACCTGTAGCACATTGACATACCTGATGGGCGGCGTTTATAAAGACGACATAAGATACCTACCGATTTAAAAGTTCACCTTGCCGCATCTATCAGTAAAGTTATCCGGTACTCGTGTCGCGTTGTTGTAATCCAGCTTCCGCTTTCGTTGTCTTCTTTGTCGATAATCGGTGTTGATATTCTATAGTTGTATTTTGTTCAGGGTTTTTATTCTTTTGATTTATTAACTACTTATAAATCCCACAGTGCACCAAAGGTTCTTCCGCGATAAATTCAGTTTCTCCGCATTCCGCTGTTCTATTCATCTCCGTGCATTTTAACGTTTTGTAAAGTCCTTAGTACGTAATGATGCTATCTCGTGCCTGGAAGTACGTCGTGTGCTTAGGTGATTTCACAAAATTCTTGTTCACCGATCTGTTGAATCGATGTAGAAACACGCCGGTCACGGCCCAGGCCTAAATCAATCATAGGCGCTATCGCTTATCGTACTTGACCCGAGATATCCCCTGGTCGGGCGATCGGCAACGAACACCTCTTATATAGCAGATGCAGTTTTACATGTTTATAGTTTTCGCATGCATGTTGTGAAATTGTGCAGCACTTTGCCGTTGGAGATTTACGTCGTGCTGCAGTAAACGAAGTCAGGTTGTCTTTTCGTACGGTTCATGAGGCCCTATTTGCAGCGAACATACCCATTCATTTAAAACGGCTAATGCACGTTTTACCCATTCGGCAATGATCTAAGCATTGCCTTTTTTAAAGATAGTTCAACTTGCTTCATTTTAGGCTCCAACTCGACCCCTTCTCACGGCGCAAATCGAGATTTTAGCGTGGTCTGAGTTACTACAACGATGGGGCTTCCAGCCACTTCTTCTTGTTTGCAAATAATTCAAGTACGTTTTGGGCGATGTGTGCTACAGCAAAAGCATACTGTCTAAAGTGATTGCGAGACCGAGGGGCGAACCATTTTTTAGAACCTACTTCTAACTGTGTGTCTGTTTTTAAGGCTTGATGAGCATACGTGTCGTACTAAGCACAATGTAGCATATCATGGATGAACCTATGTGCTGGCTCATGTTTGTCTTTAGCATGTAAGGACATGGTCCTAAACTATCTAACACGACACCGGGCTTCTAACATGTGAGGAATTCGTGCTTTTTTTGGTCAGCCACATGACCCCTACCGGGCATAAAAATAATTCGTGCCCGGGCCTTTGTTCGGCGAAATCCAGTAGACGTTATTATTCAGACTGTAAATGCGCGTTTGTGCTAATGTCTACGCATGTGTACGTACATCAGTTCAGTAACAAGATTCAAATATGGCACGAACATTTCTAATCATTTTTAAATTCACAAATTGAACACATAAGATTTATGGCCTGGGTGAGTAACGTGCAAGACAACGTAATCTAATGCGCCTCGACAATAGATATCGTGCAATCATAGATCACACATTTGGTGATGTCATATCCGGTGTTTTCTGTCCGATTGGAAGAGCTGTTAGGCTTGCGGAAAGATTTGGCTGCACGGAATTTCCTGCTACAGTCAGCTCCCTCTATAACATTCCTGTTTGTCCACTCCCAGCTTGGATCTTACAGAGGGAGGATGATATAGAGGGAGCTGGCTGTACCGCAAAATGGGCGCACAAATTTGTGCGTGCTCTGATCCTGTTTCTATGGACAAGGAGAGAGCCTGAAAGGTCATTGCAGAACAATCACGATTCTAATAAGCTCTCAGGATAAGTATGCTATGTCGAGCATCACTTCGTGGTCATCCAGTTTTTGCCAAGCTATAGGTGCTAGAATTATAGTGCATGTGCAAAAAGACAAAGGGATTGCCTTGTTCTTGGAAACTAGCAGCTCGCAATCGACACAGTGGCGTCTTTGGAGACCATGGTCTTAGCTTTTTTTAGGTGCAGCGTCGCCACCTACGGAAAATGAGCTCAGGATCAGTACGTTCTCATGGTAGCATGTCAAGAGCAAACTGAACGTTTTGTAAATATGCAGAAGCTTTTTGTGCCAAAGAAAGTCTCTCGCGGACAAAGCGGTTGCTACAACGATAAAAAGGTGGACATCGTGTAGTATGCCGACAAAAACAAATAAAGTTTCGTCCAAGTAATAACGAATACGCAAGAAATGTGAAGTCTTCTTTACAGTATAATTACAGTGCTAGTGATCAGCCCGACATCACTACGTGAGACATTATTTGCAGTTACGACAGTACGTTGCAGGGTCATACGACTCTGCATAGTATATTGTGGGAAGAAATACTAGATATAATAACGCGTTACCCTCAACATGATAATAGATGAGGGTATGTGCATGTTGCGCGGCACGTGCGATATTATCCTGTCCGTAGCACAGACGAGGAGAAAAATCTACGAAGCTTCGATCCGAATCAAGTTATTTATTTCTTGTGAACAAGGACTGGACTCCACCACTTATATGTCAAGTAAGTTTACCAGAGATGGGTGCTGTAAATGGTATTGGCAATGGACGTGAGAGTGTAAAGTACGACAAGGGTAGCTAAATCCCCGTTTTCCGAAAAAAAGTATGTACCTCGCATTAATTGAGCCTTATTCCATTTTCCGAGATCAACAAGTTTACTGAATCAAAGCTTGCGCAGACTTCTGTACATGGAGCGCTAAAATCGATACAGTCGAAGGTTCACGAAGGAATCATCACCGAATAAACATCCAGCCTAGTGTGTTGTATTCGCCACTATGAAAGTATTTTCTTTGTTTTTGGCATTGAAATTGGCTCAGGACAATTTATTTTTGTGCAGGACGACTAGATAGCGTTAAATGTGTTGTCGTAAGAATACTTGAAGCCAGCGTAGCCCCATTTGTATGATACTAGCTACTACTCGAAGGATACTCAGCTCCATTCCAAACCTATGATAATTTGAACCAGGTTTAATACACCATACCCAAAAAAGATACAAGCTCTAACAGCGAATTCAACTTGAATTCAAGCGCTTTATATTGATGCAGAACGACAAGAAAAAAAATTGCTATTTCCTACCGCTATTTGTGTAAATAATGAGATTTTTTGCACAGGGGATGATTGAGTTTCGAGATTCTCCTTACAGAAATACGACGTATGTGCAGTGTGATGATAGCCACGTTGTACGAAAACTTTACCAGCACTAGATGCAACATGTTGAGGAGTACCCGACTGCTTTCGAGGTAGTTTACAATGATTGATCTAATTTATCACGGGTTGATTTCTTTGGCCGTAAAAGTAACACAATGATAATAGCCGTCGTCAAAGAATTGCCTGCTATCTCTGTTGAATGTTACGGCCAGTAAGCTACCATGTAATCGGCGTTATATTTGCAAATTTTCAATGCAAAGATCCGACAATGATGTGAATATAATGGACAGTTTGCTGATCATCGTCTCGGTCTTTGAGGGTAAACAATGTTGTTGGATATGAAAGGTCACGCGCTACCACTACGTATAAGCGCTGACACAAGTCTACGAAGTAGGATTTTGTTACGTACAGCGACATTGAGCATTTGCAAGTGACATTAACGCACGAAATCTATACAAAGTTAGAGGCTGGAGAATATATTGGACGTTTACAACAAGCATTACGAACGTCTGAGACCGTTAACTGCCTCCTTCAAGAGCACTACATTTCTAGGTAAATTCGGGCTAGGTTGAAACTTTCTATTCAAGTACTGTGTAAACTTAGCCACAACCGAGTCCGTCTCCGTTGTTTCCTTCCATTTTATTTCACTAACCAGGTTTGTTGAAGTTAATCCTCTCTTTCTCCATACCTGAAATAGTAGATACAATATCTGATTGGCACGTATCAAGAATTCCTCCGTCTTCTGTGCTTTCATTACCAGCGAGGCAAATTTTGCGTCACCGCCGAATCCCTCGATAACTGTGGTCATTAAATCATACCGGCGACCATTTTGATTCGTTGAACCTAAAAATTTAATGTACTCGTTCAGCGTTCTCAGCGTGTGAGAATGCTCGGTGAACAGCTTGAAATCGTCTTTAGCCATCTCGAGTCGCTTAAAGATATCTATAGGAGACTCTCCACTTTCCTTCCACATCTCAAACTGTTGTCTTTGCAGCTCCTTCGCCTTTCCAATTGTATGAGGATCGAGAAGTGCATTGTCCATAATCAATGAAAACTTGCTCTCACCACCAAATCCTGTCGTCAACGTATCGATATAGACTTTTGTATCGAGCACACCGCCTTCTCTCAGCTCGATGTAGTCTCGTAGCACTTCAAGCTTCGGTTCGATCATGAAGCGGTGCAAAGGCTTAGCGTCCGTTAAGTCCAGGTACGTGAAAACCTCGAGAAAGGATTTGGGTATAGCACCACTTTTCCACTCCTCCATCAGACCATTAAGCAGCACACACGCATTAGCCGCACCAACACTGTGTTCACTTTGTTTGGCACGAACGAGTACTTTCACCATGCGCGTGTCCGTGAACTGAAGTACAAGCGTCCGGATGAGTGACATCTTTTTACTCTTGAAGTAGCGATCCAATGCTGGAATGTCGGATCCACACAGTATGGCAAGAGCTATCTCCTCAAGCGAATCCTTCGATTGAAATTGTTCCCGCATCTTCATCAAAATGTCGCTCGGATCTACGTTATCGTTCTGCCATCTCCGTAGCTGGGCACTATCAAGGTGCAGTCGGCTCGTCAGCATCGTGAACATTTCTTTCATCTTCCCCCTATCTTCACCGTACTGCTCCCCTTGAAAGCTGATCAATGCCTTCGAAGAAGCGTCTTCGCTTTGGTTATCAGCAGAGGAATGGACAGTACCTGGGTGGTGGAACGCCGTCGTCCCGGGATCCGCAGCTTCCAGAGTTCCTTTGGCGCGTGTCAAGAGGACGAAGGTAGCCAGGAGTGCACGAGAGCAGAAGGGCATGGTCGATGACAAATTAGCGTAAAGAGGTGAAATCACAGAGAAGCCGAGGACTGGCGCCAAGATGAAGCTCGAGTAGCAGCTGTAGTATTCGAAGACAGTGTGCGGCGGAGAAGGCTTTTTTCACATGGCTCTTTTATAAGTAGCGACTCCGGTCTCATGCGATTTGCATGGTTCATTTTCGCAACGTTTTGACAACATGTACGTGTCATTCCCGAGGTTCAGCTCAAGCCAGACTTTTCTTACCCCTTTGGGGGCGGCCACTTCGGAGGGAATCCTCTCCTTGGGGAGCCGAAGGGGTCTAAGGTCGGCCTCGAGCAAGCTGCACTCGCAGTATCAGGTGTGGACGCAGTGGACCGACGGGTCGCGCAAGCGGCGCACGGGAGCCAAATCGCAGACGGATGAGCTCCTCGGGGAGATACTACGACGGGTTGGCGTTCCCCACGCCTCGTGGTTACTCCGGTGGCTACACTCTACGTCGATGGGCCGCGCAAGCGGCTCAAGGAGGCCCGCAAACGCGAATGCATCGGCTTCTAAGGGATAAATCACGGCGGGTAGGCGTTCCCCCGCCATCGTTATCGCCTCGACGATAGCGACATCCAGCCCGGACGGTCGCTTTAGCGGCCACAAAGGAGTCTGTACCTGACTTTAGTGGCATTCTCCCGGCGCGTAAGGTAACTTCGGTTACTCGCGCTATAGGTCGGCTGGCCGCGTGAAGCGGGGACCGATTCAGTTGGGCGTCCTTTTGGACGTCTTGATATCTTCTGCTGCATAGGGCAGCGTTGCCCTGAGAGCGCTTGAAAGATGGGCCGAATCTGGCTCGGGTTGGATGTCTCTGACCTCCTCTACCGTCGCCGCTGGCTCTTCGGAGCACCCACGTTGTGATCCGGTTTTGGACCACACTTCCTGGAAACTTCAGTCGTTAGTTATTCGTGAATAATGGACGTACTTGACACCAGCACTAACAACATGTACGTGTCGTACGCCATTGCTTAGAAGTCATTGTCGTGTTATAATCAGTACAGTTGACGGCCAAGTTGCATATTCGTCGTTAAGCTATGTAGGAATATCCAATTTGTGGTCGGCTCGTCGCTTGAGTCTGGTCTAGAAGCAGCTGTTTATTGCGAAATATTTGGCTTGAAGGAGGTAAGGACGTAATCATTGCGTGTTGTGCCTTCCATGTGCAAATGAAAGGGTAAGCCGCTATTCAGCACAACCCTAACATTTCTAAGTAGAGCCAGTTGGGGATTGTCATATCTCAAGCTTTCTTCGCACGATGAAATACCCGTTCAATCAAATAGATTTGAGTCCGCACCGTGTAATATTTGACACAGGTTATCAGCCAAGTGAAGCCGCAGCGTTTTTCGCGGTCTATTCGCCGTGTCCGAGACCATTGAAAGTTGCGAACAATTTATCGAGAATATCAGCTTAGACAATAGTCTATTTGGTAAGTTCTGCTGAACTGCACATCGCTCAGAATGCTCTTGAGTTTACTATGTACAATGTGAAGTGGCTCGAAGCTTCACTACGAGTAGCTCTGTCCACGCTAAACTCTTGATTTGCGCCGGGAGTACGAGTGGCAATCGTAGAGGTCATACTTCGCTCTCCATTTCGCACTCATGCTAATACCCTGCTAGACTCGGATCACCACATCCTTCAGAAATGACAGCTCCGCTAGCTTCGATTCTATTACGATCACAGCGTTGTCCAATCAAAATCAAAGACTAGTGTGATGTTCTTCTTGTTCACCCTATTTCTACCGCCCTGACTTTCGTGTGACAAATTATAGTCGCATTAGTCATATTGATAAAAGAAGTAATTGCGACTGCTCGCAGTGCATGTATGGGACCGCTTAGTACCCTCGAAGGTGGTTTGATCATTGCTTTGTGCGGCGATCTCAGGTGCTGCATTCAGTCCATGATACATATCAAGCACAACAATTTGTACATCACACTTCATATCCTTTTTGACATCGGACCTTTGAACATCACGTGCATGATGACAGTGATCACTCCTTACCAAAATCGAAAAAGTGCATCACTCGTTGGCCACTAATTTAACCATAACTATGCTCGAAAAATGCTCAACAGCTGTAATACAAAAGTTTAACTCATTGTAAATTTCAAAAGTAAACATAACATCATCGGTTGCACCGAAAAACTAGAAGCAAGACCACATGTGTGTTAGTACTTCCCTCGGCGACTGGCAACTACGATCGATTGCATGCAGTGTGGACGAAGAGATAACGTGCGCCTTAGGGCCGATTGAGCAATGTCGCTTGCAACCGTACTGCTTTTCGTGGGTTGCAGCAGCTAGCAAGGGAGATCTACAATGGTGCACAGGATGTGTATGCACAACTAGAGCGGTTTCTAGGAGGGACTTGCCGTACAAGCACGACGATCGATTCGTTTGTCTTTGACGTGTAAATTGCCTATCTGCAGTCCGTCGGTTGGCTATGTAGCTTTTTCATATAGTACACAAACGTCATGTACAGCTATGAATGTCCATGATCATGATCACATCTGCTTCAGGTACAATATCGCATCCTATAACAACTCGCAGTGTTTAGGCTTGGAACGCTTACAGCGCAACCCAGCATCTCCATGAATTCCGGATGTTTGGCGTGTTACTGCAGCCATTTGCAAGCGAACCAATATGTGCGCAGAGGCATCAGTGAAACGCAAGACTCTAGTTTGAGTCGCAGTCATACGGTCATTGCGACACAAACGCCTCCGTTATGATTGTACTTCGATTGCCCGATGCAATGCTCATCTTAAGCGTGGCATGTGACACTGGTCAGCGTCGACTCAGACGAAGCTTGGAATTTAAACAGAGAGAGACATCTGTGCGGTAAGTGTTGTTGGCTTACCGCCACTTTAGTAATACACCAGCAGGTAAAAGCTCGATATTACAGCCAGCGAAAGTGTTGCATGTTCACGACCTCCACTTGTAGGTTGCGCGATATCTATTAAACAGCAACTAAAAAGACTCGGGTTAACTAACCACATATTCATATAGAGGGCGACTGTAAAGAGGTTACCGCACACCTTCGTTTGCTGCACTAGATGCTCTCCCACTGTATGTTTAGTGGTACATTGCCACACAACTTACACTAAAGGCTGGTTCGGTGATGGTGTAGTAGGAAGCTAGGTTTACCTAGACAGGCTGTATGCCGGCAACAAGTCTACACAGGCCCCTATTTCATACTCACAGTGTATCTAGGTCCAATTGACATTTACACACAACAATAGTGCGCGCATTTAGTAGATCCAAACTGGATGGCCTTGATCCTAATTGGTGACTGTGCGTCGCAGACGTCTTTCATTACAGGTAATGCAGACGCAGCGGCCGTCAACAATCGGACAGGACACGGCCTTCGAATGATGCACTTCACCCTTATGATAGTGACAAAACTCCTTGTCACACGAGCAGCAGTAGTGCAGGATACGCCGATCAAGTGTCGCAGTGAACGGCACTTTCTTCTTGTAACGAGGATCATGGCATACGTGGCATTGGTTGCACACTGCGCGACCCTCTGCTGAAAGGTGCTGAGGTCTGAGCTTACCCTTGAGTTCCGGAATCGGTACCATGTACGTGGACCGACTAGAGCTTGTGACCAATCCAAACTGGTTCGTCGCTTGAACAACAAACTTGTACGTCTCCCCGTGAGAAAGCTTTTCGACCGTCACCGTCGTTGGTAGCGGTACAGCAAGAAGTCTTGTACACTTTTCGTCTTCCGTCTTCGTGCGTGTCCAACGGACCGTGTAGCAAACAATTGGAACACCGTTGTCCACGGGCTTTTCCCATGATATTCGAGCAACTGCATTTTCCACAGTTGCTTGTAGAGACTCCATTTCAACTGTTACACGCGTAGGCATGTTTGGTGGCAACCGGCGTAGGAGGCGAAGCAGCAAGTCAGCATCACCGTATATGATGCCACGGATAGGTAGCATCACCACTAGGAGAATAATGATTGCGTCGTCCAGCCACCAAAAGTATATCTTTAGCAAGCTCCACGTGCTGATTTGGTGGTCACAGCCGTCATCCGAGTCCACGTGCTTGGTATTCTCCATATGACTAGTCTCTTCGGCCATTTTGCGCTTGTGTCTACCCTGGGAAGACAGCGGGTGTACCGATTGAGGTTTGCCCGTACTTGGCAACAGGGAGTGTGATGAGTCGAAAGTCGAAGCGTCTGGTAACGCAAAACCACTTGTATCTGCATCATCACAGTGTATATATGTGCGCGGGCTGCGGCCATAAGAATTCCACGTCGTGAGACGGTAAACCGTGTAACGATTATATTTCACAACATCGGTAACCTCCGTGTCAGCTCCAGTAAATACGAGCTTCCAGGTCGATTCTCCAGGACTTCGACGTTGCAACTGATAGCGCTGTGGCGTGTTCTCGGCTGGTACCCACGCAATCTGTAGCACCACATCCTCCTGCGCAACTGGCGCACCACCTGTCGTGCAGACACTCGATGCAACAGCTTTCGGCTTGCGTCCCATGCCGAGATACTTCATCTGCAAGAACATTGCCAGTTGATGACGATGAAGTTCCCTATGCACGCCAATCTCTTGCATTCTTGCTCCATCATTGGCCATTAGCAAAGGAAAAGTGTACCCGGAAATAGAGTTGGTTCGGAAAATCTCACTGTACTGCGGCAGTTGCACAGCGTAGGCCACCCAATCTGCCACTTCATCCACAGTCATTTCCGCCCCCACGCTCTCCCATCGCTCATCCAGCTCTTTCCACGAAACAATGTCGTCGTTATCACTGTCCAGCTTTTTCAGTGCCGCGTCTACGTCCTGGTCACTCTGTGCATTCTTTTGCAGCTCAAACACGTCCAAGCCACCGCTGTCGTCCGTGTCCAAATGGTCGTGCAGCTTGTCTTTGATCTGTTGGATCTCGAGGCGTCCTACATGTCCGTCATTGTCAAAGTCCGCCAGCAAGCTTTCTACGGGAGAACAATGTCACGATAAACTCTAGTGTCAGCACTGTAGACCATATCGAGCACGCAAGCGGTATTATGCAGCACTGTTAAGCAGTTGTTGCCCGTTTTAATAACGACACAAACAAAGTGAAGGACGGGGACCAACCATTTTGTGTGCGGGTTAAATACGTGAAGGCATCGATTCGAAACTTACCAACTTCCGGTTCTTGACTATGTATGCTTTCCCGCTTTAATACTGGCCCTTTGCGCATATCGTCGACATTGGCAGTACTGTCTCCTATTGCCGCTGTAATGTCCGTGGTTTCGTCGACGTTTGATTCTATTATTCGAGTAAATGACGTTAAAACAAGGAGATTACACCAATCGGGTTTTAACAAAAGCGTAACGAGGTTTTTACCATGATTACAAGGCGCGACGACGTCCACGATTGTCCACAGTAGCAACTGCGTGATGACTGTCATAGCCACGAGAGGCCATAGAGGAGACCGCCCGTGACGAATATTGCGCCTCAGGCGCCAAGAAACACGAGGATTGGACAGTGGGAGCCACATCGCACACAAAGTGGAATGTTGCTGGCGGCTGGCTGGCCTGCCTCCGCCAGTTTGATGAGTTATACTGAAAACAAAACGAGATGCAAAAAAATCTGGAGCGATGAGCACCTCGAGATACAGTCACGGACTTATCTTCATGATGGGGACCAAAGTCCTCGACACGTGGCACGATTCTATCGTTTTTACAGTCTAAATTGTTCGTTTTCGATGCGACGGTGGAGATGCACGTCAAGTTTGGGCACGTTGGATGGAGATTTTTTCTTCCACTCTCTGTCCAACTACGATAGTGGCTTACTCTTCTGCTTAAACTCGACGAGGAGCTGCGCGTGTCAGTCGTTCACAGTTTGTACCGTAGCCAATCAGATTATTGTGAAACTAAAAATGCAAAACAGTGGAAGATAAAATACGTTGCGGGACACTTCTGCTCGGGCGACTATTTCTATAAATGAATACACTTCAGCTACTCAGCCGGTTTTAGACATCTCACTTGCAATTCTAAAGACAAGACACGGACATCACAACCGTGATAACAAGCTCGATGAAAACGATAAGCCATTGTTTGCGTTTGATAAGTAGCCAAGAAATAAATTGCTAAAGACGTCAAGCCGCGCACCAGTTTGTATTCTAGGAGACAATTGCCGAGGAATTAGGCGCCATGACTTTGAAAGAATCATACTAATTTTGCGACAGTAGAAGACCGCACAAAACCCTCACGGTGAACAGTTTAGTGTGCAGATTAAGTTTATGGACGGCGTGAAGTCTTCACAAACTTAAAGCTGTACAACAAATTTCGGTCACACTACTTGCACGCTATTTTGCTGCGGCACATCATACTTGGCACCATACATTGCTAGCGAAGATGGCACGTAACAAATGTTGTATCAATTACATTGGTGCAAACGTAGGCGCTGAATCTGGTGGAGATTACAGATCAATCCATCAAGGCTGTTCTCATGTGTGACTACCTTGTCATAAACTGCTATCCCATTTTGAGAAGCAACGGCAAGGTACGACTGCTGATCCGTATCGCAAGGTCTTGATCGAACCGAGTAAAAGGTAGATAAGATCGGTATTTTTGCACGAGTCAATTTGTATAAGCGCGGAGATGAACAATACTAGGCTTTCGTTGTTGTGCATGTACACAACAACGACGAAAGCGTAGTAATGTAATCCTCCTTGCCAAAGAACAGCTATGAAGAAAGTATTGACGTATGTGAAAGGCCAAATAGAAGCGCTAAAGACTGACATGCAATCGATTCTAGCATTCTCCAATGATTGCAAAGAAGTACCGTAGGTAAGTGATAGGAATCGCTAATAAGCTCCGCTAATTGCTAATAATACTGATTAACTCAACCAATGATTGCAACGAGTTCGGAGTACATCTGTAACGGAGCATATTTGTTTGAGGTGCCGCGAAACTTCACGCACACTAGTACGTGAAGAGGAAGCTAATCTACTCAAACTGCTAGTTTGAGTAAAGGTAAAAAGAGAACTGTAATTAATATAGTTAAGCTATCCATATAACTTTAGTCTTTATCTAACCATATTAAACTACGTCGTCGTATGACGACAACATGCTCACCACTCCTTACGCGCGTCTAGTAGCGATTGGTGGTAACCTTGATTGATATGTCTTTGTCAAATCTTTGAGCAGTGCACGAATGTTATCCTATAAGGGCATAATATTCTTTCAAAAATATCCAACTCGGATAGTTTTGGTAAGGAATTGTCACGCTAGACAATCTCCCTTTTGACACCAAAAGGTGTCAATATCATGTAACGGGTTACCCTGTTGTATCACCCCCCCCCTTAACCATCAATCACCCGTTGATAGAATTTAACTGATTGGAACAGGTTGGCCACCGTTGGGTCACTCTGGAAAGGGGATCACTTGTTGGTCATATGTTTTCATGATTCATTGCATGGTGTCAAAGTCCATGCGATGTGCTGCCAAAGCATCAAGAAAAGCGGTTGCACGCATGCGTGCAGCCGAAGGGAGTTCTTCGGTTGCTTAAGCAGCAGGTGGTCCTTCGCCTGCTGTTGCGATTCATCAACAGGCGGTGCCTATTGTGGACAGTCCACGTGGTGAGTCATTACACGCGACAGATATATCCGCTTCGTCTGTAGCGGTGCTTCGAATGGCAACGTAGATTATCCTGAAATAGAGCTCATCTATCCTGGCAATTCGGATGATCCATCCGACTCGAATGCGACACCTCACGCCTCCGGAATACCCGGGGCGGACACTGCAAGTGCCAGATTGACTGGCTCTGGGAACGTGGTGGCATTATGTCCAAGATCTTCGGACCTAGCGATTCTTTCGACGAATACTCGCCTCACGCAAGTCCATCCAACTATAGGACGCGTGGTTATGGTGGTGATGCCCCTATGCATCACCATGAGAGAAGCAACTCGAGAGGTCGAGCTGCCACTGGTGTCAGTGCTCGTGCTGAAACCACACAAGAGGCCAGCAACCGCAATGTCCTGCGCCATGCTCCTCAAATAAAGTCTCCTTGGGTGCCATCATCCAAGGAGTTAGATCGAGTGGCCGGTACGACCACCGAGAACGAGATCGAATCCCGTTGTTCGATAACAGGAAGATTTCCCCCTATAATTCCAGCACGGAAACTATCCGTGCTGAGGAAGAGTTCTTCACCGATGTGTCCTTCAAACATCAGTGGTACAATAGCAGCCGTGTTCGAGACGGAAAGGCCTTGGTGCAGGGGTGGAATGCCTTCATCCATAACTTCGAGTGCACTTTCCGTGAGGCATGACTCAGTAAACTTGATGAAGATCGCCTAAGGTTTGAAAAGAGTAACCCAGCCGGTTTGCGATACAGTCGCACCGACTGTAGGAAGAGGCAGGATAACTTTGTCTCTAGCGGGGCGAACCGTGTCCAGGTTGCCTGGAAAACTCGAACGTGCCCCTACGGAGGCCTACCTTCGTGATGACCCATACTGGAGGGCGCGCATCTCTTCTGAGATGGCCGAAGGGATTTACACTTTGCAATCCCTGTACTCGCGTTCGATGAGGTCGTTTCCGACGGCCTTTCTTTAAATGCAGCGGGTGGGTCTCGTCATATTGCTCGATGAGACCCAGGACATCATTAATCAGCTGGGCACGAGGCTCCCAGCTGTCCCACGCCGGTGGATAGCCACACCAGCGGACGAGGTAACTCTTCCGGACGCCCTTCACGTCGCGGTGGTTCAAATTACGCCCCAACAGAAAGCGTTGACCACCGCAATCTCCATCAAAAGATGTGGTGGCGGCGGAACACCCGATCCAGCTCGAGGGTCGGATCAGCTTGATGTTCAAGAGCTGAACCGTCTTACGAAATAGTTGCAAGATGACCGGGCTCACGAACGGAATTGGCATTATGAGCTTCAGGATCTTGGGAGGGATAATTACAATTCCCTAGCGCACGATTTGGACGATCGTGCCTCTTTTGTGTTCGCGCAATTTGAGAACGAACGTTCGACTCGTTCTCTTTGTGACGAGCTGGCTGCAGGTCGTCGAGACATCGTTTAACTGCGTGATCGGGTCGCTTCGCTAGTCACCAGACTGGCTCGTTGAAACGGGACCACTCGAAGGTGGTCTCGGCTCTCGACCGCGGAGGTGTTCTTCGCATCTCGAAACGGGCTCTTACTGATAGTAAGGGCGGAGACGACCGACGCAAAACGTAGGATGCGTAAGCATCTTACGGGGCAGTTTAATCATGTATGCGTTGCCCATTCGGCGCAACACAAGTAATGGACCAATTTACTTGGGCAGTAATTTACTGCTGTTCACGTTTGTCACTGCGTGTAACGGTAGATTTACTGTAGACTGTAAAACTAGATCTCCTTCATCATTTATAGAGCATTTGCTCTCCCACGTTTGTCTGCGTTTCTTTTCTGTTTGTCTATTGCGTCTGCATTAGGGTCTTAGACGAAGCGGACAACCACTTCGCGAGTCAGCTGAATTTCCTCTGCCGATTAATCCTTGTTAACAGCTGTGCGCTTGGTGCTCACTGCTGATAGGAACGATGTCTTCACCAGTGAGGGTGTCATCGTCCTCACTTTGGCAGTCGTTGGCGATGCTGACTATACCAACATCGTCGTCATCATCATCATCGATGTCGATCGACATCGCATCCATCACGTCTACACCATTGTCGAAGGGTGATGAGCAAGAACCAGATCAAATTTTGTTCTAGCAAGCACACCTCTTCCTTTAACTCGATTTACACCCTAAGATGTCTGGTAAAGGTGGATGGCGTAGGCCATTCACGAAGAACGGTGTATGCGTTGTCGACGTATGCACCGAGTTGTTGATGGCGAATTCCGCCATCGGCAAGAACTCAATCCAACTCGTAAACGAGTGGACATCCCCTCGAAATATCTAGTCGAGGACGCGGTGGACGCGTTCCGTCTGATTATCTGTTTCTGGATGGTCAGAAGTCGACGTCTTCAAACGTGATCTAAGTGAACGGAACTCAGATTGCCAGAACTCCGCTGTAAAGCGGGTGGCCCTATCAGACACGAGTTTACGGGGTAACCCGTAAAGTCGGAAGATAGCATCGATAAAGACACGCGCACAGCCCTGGGCTTTGATTCACTCCGGTACAGCAAAAAGATGTATCTTCTTGTTGAACCTTTCAACAAGCACAAGAATACAGTATTTTCGCTAGCGTCTTTGGGGAACCCGAATACGAATTCCAACGATACGGACTGCCAGCACTCTACCAGAATTGGTAGAGGCTGCAAGGGTGCACGTGATGAAGGACTTGGCTTCTTCCGCTGGAAAACTTCGCAAGCGCGAATGTATTTGCGTACAATCTCATACTGGCGGGCCCAGTAGAAGTCGCTCCTTACCGTGAGGTAAGTCATTTCTCTACCGCGATGCTTACTTGTTTGAGCGTCGTAACACTCATACATGATGCGCAATTGCAAATCATCATGAGCGGAAAAGACGACACGAGGCGTGTCGCCGGTGAATGCTGTATAGTACAGCAGTCCATCACGAATCGAATACCGTTCGGTTGTAGAGCGGTATCAAAACGTCAAGCTTTTCAAATCTTGACTGCATGGATTGGCTACATGATCCATTAACCGCAGAAGAGACTTATTTTCTGCGTATGCTTTTCGCACGTCGTCGAGCATATTCGACGTCGGAACACTCACTGATAGCGTCGCGACAGTGGGGTCGCCCCTACTGTTTTGTTGAGCAGTCGGCTCGAGATCAGGCCGGCTCAAAAGAGCATCAGCTACTACACTAAATCGTCCTGGTTTATACTCGATGGAGACGTTGTACTCCGCGAAGAAATACAGCCACCTCGCCATTCGTTTCGAGAGTGGTGGACTGTTTACGGCCGTGCGTAACGACGCATGTTCGGTATAAACGATGGAGGGTATATCTTCCAAGAGACATAAACGAAACTTAACCCCAGTGCATATTTTATGGCAAGGAGTTCCTTGTCATGCGCCGAGTTATTTATCTCAGCTGCTTGCAGCTGACGCGATTGATAACAGACGACGCGCTCAAAGCCGTCTGAGCCGTACCGCATTAACGCGCAGCCGATCTAAAAATCGCTGGAGTCCCAGACCACATGGAATGGTCTTTCCTGGTTTGCAATTGCTAACACAGGCGATTGTATCAAGCTTTTCTTGATACCTTCGAAGGAGTGCTAACACTTAGCAATCCATGACCACCTCTCATTTTTCTTTAACGGACGAGAGAGATGTACGGTATTCTCGACGTAGTTGCTCGAGTACTTGTGCACGTACATTGCTAAGCCATGAAACTTTTAAAGCCCCTTGACTTCATCTAGCACAGGCCAGTCGCTTATCTCCTTGATCTTTTCCGGATCATGGCGTACGCCGTTGTACCCATTTTAGCAAGGTGGGTACTCTAGATGCACTTAATAAGTCAATCACAGTACATAGTTGTGCCCGTGTCTTCGTTGACACGGTATTCTGACTCGATGGTACAACCCATCAATTACTATTTAATATTGGTTCCCGGTTCATGGAGGCCGTTTAGCAATCCGTGTTCCAAAGGATCGACAACACGTCTGTCTTTGACCATCCGAAGACTGATGGTCAGACAAGACGCGTCAATCGCGTCCTCGAAAAGATACTTCAAGGATGCGTCCAATATTTCACAGATTGGAGCGACCTTATGCTGATGGTGTGGAGTTTGCCGTTAACAAGTCCGTGCACATGTCGAAAACGTATACACCTACTTTCGTAACGGCTTGCACCATCCACGCCTACCCACCCATTTTAGGTGTGACTCTAATTTAAGGGAGGGATTCTCTCGAGCAAGAAGCGTTTTGTATCTTACTCATCACGTGTCGAGGCACTCGACGACACCAATGTTGCCGATGTTGACATAATTGACATCAAAGAGGATAATATAAGCAATAGTGAAGACACAATTGCTGGATTAGATGAGGATGACGATACTGGTATATTTAGCATATCCAGCGACTCCACCGATAATGAGGACACCCTCGCTGAAAGAGAAGATGACCGCTCAGCGGTGCGCTCAAGGAGCACTGCAACAAACGAAATTGAGTCAGCAGAATATCCTCTGTAGGCACGAGAAGCAGTGGTCCATCTAGTGCAAGATTCCATCGCATGCGCGGAGGACCGCAGATTCCGAGTGCTGACAAACATGGTAGAGCAGACATTTTCTTCTATATAATGTAGGAGAGTTAGTCTTCGTGTCTACAGTAAGTCTACCTAAGCACGTAGTAACTAATGTTGCTAGTAGTAACTAATATCCAAGTACATTGGACCGTGTCGTGGACCACATCGTAAAGGAAATGTGCACACGATCGAGTTGCCTCGCAGGATGCGATTGCATCCTCAGTTTTGTGAAGGTATTCTTAGGACTTACCATTAGTACGAGGTCTCTTCCTCGAGCGAATACAAACCTCCGCGCTTAAGAACCTCTAAATAGATGTGTTTGTGCCCGTCCCATTTTTTCGTTTTTTTTAATTGCTGCATGCTGGCGATGAATGTCATCCACTTTGTCTGCAAAAGGCTTGACGCTTCGCTCGATCTCCAATTGGTAGGACGAAAACTCCGACTAGTTGTATAATCGATGTAGGCGATTGTAATGCATCCACCCCTTCAAAGAGTGACACCCCTGTCGCTCTTGTTCGATGCGATCACACATATCGTGTAAGCGTTGCTAGGAACTACTTAACCCTGCCAGAAATTCCAGCACAAACTGTTCGGAGTTTATATTACCGCTCCACCAACTATTAGTGGACTTACATGGTAGTCAACGCTTTCACGTAGAGCGTGCCTCGAACCACCGCGACGTGTAAGGGAAGCGAACAAGGAATCTTGTTAGCTGGCACAAATATCTGCCATTGCACGACAGCTGGGTGACTCACACACAGCAGATGATTGACGTTTAGGGTATCGTCCACCAGTTTCGACGATGCTATATCAATGGCTCAGAAGGGCAATCAGAAAATACGCGCCCATGACGCTGGTAGAGCGACTGCAGGGTAGCAATCGCATCGCGCATTTCAGAAGAGATGTGTGTCCTACTCCAGGGTGAAGAAAGGGAGTACACATCCCTTTGAAGGTGTTGGGTGTTGTCTAAACACAGTGGGAATGGGTCGCCCCACGTAAAGTACGGAGTTTCTGACTTACGAGCCAGAGTGTGCAACGTGACTTTTGCATTAGTAAAGTTTGGTTTCTAAAACATTGCACGAGCTGTGTCAAGAGTCTAAAGCCAAGCTTTGCGCCCGATGTGCCACACATCGATTATAAAGGCGTTCACACCAGCAAAAATGAGCTTTTGTCTCGCTTGGTGTTGCCACTATAACAACAATGCTTCAAAAAAGGAACCAGATATAAGTCCTCTTCAGTGCGAACTTGCCCGCGCTGATGTCGAGGCCTTGCAACAGCCTTGCATCGAATCTTGAAATTCGATGATGGCGACTTGTCCCACCTGACAGGTAATTTACAAACCTTTTTGACGATACCCAGGTCTTTTGTTTTGGGGCTAGAAGCAGCGCATAGACGTCTAGATCCTTATGTGTGGTACCAACAAAAGTCTTGGTACAACTAGAATCGTCATGACGATGGCGCAAGTCATCACCACATTCGCTACATCTCAATTAAGCAGTATCAGGAGCAGGGGATGAGTCAGAATACTCATCCTCCAACATCAACAGGCTCTTGTACTTGTCATGAGTCTGACTACCCGCTTGAGTCCTATTTGTAGGCTTATATTTGACCTCCCCGACAAACTCGGGCGACCTAATTGTCTTCTTCTATTCGTACCCACCGTCTGACTACCCCGAATCGATAACCTCCTCTTTAGAGCTATCGTCATTAGCGCGTGGTGAGTCACCACGTAGCTCTGCAGCA